TGGGAAACTAAAATTAAGATTGCGCATGGCATTTGTCGTGGTATTTTATACCTTAATTCCGTTGGCATTTTTCATCATGATTACGATGCAGAAATGTTATGATAAAATACATTTGACATAAATTTATATTTTGTATTCAAAATATTAACTTCTATGTTTTAAAATTAATATATTTTATAGATAACTAGTTTTATGGAACCAAAGCTAGCAAATTTCCATTTTGCAAGAATGATGACGGATCCCTCTATAAATATTTCAAATATCTTGGAGGTTATTAATTTGATGGCTCCGAGAAAATGAGGGAGTACGTATCAAATTCGGTTAAAATCCCGTATACTCAAAAATGGCCCGCTTGTGAACGAAGTCACAAGGCGGTACATTATTGTGAGTCACTAGACTCTCCACGTGACCACCGCACCCAAAATAATAATAATAATAATAATAATAACAATCATAATAATGGTAATAAATAAATAAATAAATAAATAAATAATAACAAATAAGATAATAATAATTAAACAAAATAATATAAATTAGACGATACTCGGAAAGTCTGTCACGTGACATAGATTGGCTTGTTCGACGACCCTATCCCATACTGTACTACAGGACTAGACACAGTTTGTATTGTTGGCCATGGAATTTGCTCGTTCAGTTGGGGGATAGGTTCCATGACGAACAATAATAATGTGAAATTTTCAGGTAATAAATGATTTTGATTCTTATACTTTTTTTTTAAAAAAAAAATTTTTTATAAAAGTTAATCATTCCATTGATATAGTTTCGGGATGTTGCTTTGGGAGTTTGCATATGGGAGGACTCCATATGAAAACAAGTACATGGATAGTATAATAAAACATGTGATGAATGGACAAGAAAGGAGTGTCCGTATATTCATGACCCTAAAAATGATCAAGCCATAAAGAGTACATAAAGATAGTTGGAAGAGGTAATTTTCTAACCGATTCATTACATTATTAGAAATTAAACTGCAAAATTTAACATTCATCGATTTAAATAAAGCATGGGAGCATATTGAAGAGGAAAGAATTACGATTGGCGAATTATATCTGGAGCTTACAGGTTTATTAAAAAAAGGTATTCCAAACAAATTTACTCCCACTGAATCATCGTCATGTCCCGAAACATATACCATTGCTATTAAAGGTCAGACGACAGAATTAAAATTAGACGATGACATTTTTAGTGAAAAAATTTTACCACTTGAAGAAGGAATAAAGCTTCACAGAACTGGTATTTTGGAAAATAAAAAGTTAGCTTTTGAATGTTTTAAAGAAAATTCAAAGCTTGGAAACGCTACTGCAATGTACTGGTATGCGCGTTACTTTCTAGATGGTCATTATACTAATGAGAACAGATCAGAAGAAAGAAAGTCACTTGATAAAGCTAAAGCTCTTAAAATTTTTAAAATGGCTGCTGATGAAGATAATGCTGACGCACAATTATTATATGCATTTACTTTACCCAACACAAAGAGGAATCAACAACTCGGATTAAGGTACTTGAAACTTTCTGCATTGGAAAAAAATGAACTTTCACTTCGATTGGCAAAAGCTATGAATGTAAATATCTATGATTCTAATGATGTTAATGCTTCTTATGATAGTAGTTTTTAAAAGATATTTTAGGTTATGAGTTTGTTAGAGATTTAAACCGGCTAATTTAAATTTAGTTTAATTTGCAATATTATACTTTTGAACCTCTCCAAACCTAACCTGTCAAACCTTGATAAAAACTAAATCAACCATGTCTGTTTCTTCTGTATAAATATAATTTATTATGTTTTCGAGCCTGATAACCTCCCAATACTGATACATACCTTCTACCATGTATATCAGTTTTGGAAAGTTTGACAATATTTAAAGCCATCAATTCGTTCTTAATATTTTCTAGTGGTTGCAATATAATTTGGCCATCAAATATGTGATACCCCTTCTATAATTGTTTCCATTTAGGGATAAAGTAATACAGCATATTATTACAACAATAAAATATTGTACTCGGCTTTTTAGTCATAAGTTCACATAATAATAGTTATGAAATCAATCAGATTTATATAAATAAGCAGTTTCGAATATATTGGTTATTCAAAATATTTGATCTACTGACATAACATACGTACATACGTGCTTATTTTATTTAAATAATTTAACCATTAATATTATTCCTTTAACTTTTCGTAGTTTAAGGTATTTAATTCATCAAATGTATTGTACATGCAACTTTAATATTATTTGATTAAATGTATTTGTGATTTTAGAATGGAAACTAACAAGGAAATTGAATTAAAGGATAACAATGATTTGGATATACCGAGATTAAATAAATATTATCGCAGTGCTTGGAGGTCGTTAGAGTTGGATAATTCAAAGCTCGATCAACGTTGTGACTTTCTTCAAAATAAATTTAAAAATGTTAACTCCTTTGATAAAAATGAAAAAATGTATTTACTTACTAAGCTTGGAGAATATCAAGAAAATTTAATTTAGTAAATAAAACAAGCAAACCTAGGCGATGTAATAATTGTCATAATTTGACTTATTCTATTCGGTTGCTACAATTTATAAAGCAGTTAGGAAAGATGGCTGGTATGTGCTTGGAATAATAAAGCAAAAAAATTGTTAAGATATGGTAAACAACTAGTTATTTTGAAAATGCTAAATAGCTCTGATAAGGATAAGAATAACCTTGATTGGTTTGATGAGGTAAAACTAAACTCTTTCTTTTATTTGTGTAATATATAATGATTATATGTATTAATAAATTTATTACTGTAATAATAATATATATTTAGGCTTTACACCATTTCACAATTGATAAGTTTGCTCAATATCTCATCCCTTGTCCTGGAGTAACAAAAGATCCGAATACCGGCAATTTTATGCTAGTTTTAAGACATATGATGACTAATTTACGAAATTTCCTACTTGAAAATAATTCTACAATTACCTGGGAACAAAGATATGACATCCTTTATGAGATCACTTCCTGCTTAAATGAAATTCATAGAAAGGATCATGTTCATAGAGATTTACATTCTGGTAATATTTTAATTCGACAAACTTTAGTGCTTTAGATTAGTGATCTAGGATTTTGTGACCTTGTTAATAAACCATTAGATTGTGTATACGGAAATCTTCCATATATTGCACCAGAAATTTTGTGCAAAATGCCTAATACTAAAATGTCAGACATTTATAGTCTAGCAATTATTATGTGGGAAATTGCAGCAGGTGTACCACCTTATATGAATAATAATTATGATTTTGATTTAGCACCAGCTGTCATTAAAGGAATGCGCCCCTAAATAAATCTTAATATTCCACAAGAATATGCGATTCTAATGGAGCAATGTTGGAATGCAACTTCAGAAAATAAACCTGAAGTTTTAATGGGGGAACACTGTTAGTAGAAGAAGAAATATTAGACATAAGTTGTTGAGTTATTTTGTTGAGTTTTTTAGAGTTGTTGATATGAATAGTAGTAAAATTAGTAACTTGAATGTAGTTGGTATTGGTGGTTAAGATGAATTTAGTATGATATTTGTCACAAAGACAAGTAATCAATAAGGTAGAGAAAAGGATTTGAAAAAATGTGTAATTTTATGTGATCTAAGATTTTTTGTTAAGCAAGAAGTTAGTTGAATTTTGAGAAGAATTGGACAAACATTATTACTATTTTCTTCTTTGTAGAGAGCAATTTCAAAACTATTAGAAAACTTTTGGTAGAAATAGTCAAGGTCTGCAGTATCAGGCTCTTGATAAATTAAAGTAGGTATTTTAAAGTATTGATAAGTTGAGTAAGAAAAAAAAAAGTAATTAAAGAATTTAATGAATTTTTCTAAATTACAAATATGATTATAAATAATTAATTTTACAAGAGTAGTAGATAAAGACAAGGTTGAATTGTAGAGGTATCATTGAAGTAGCACTAGAGTGTAACTAGAGTAATTAGAATTATTAATATAACTTGAATACTGAACACAAATTGGAGTACAAATTATTGTGTAATATTAGTATGAATCAAATAAAGTAATAATAGATTGTGTTTAATAAATATCTATTAATAGATTAGTTACAAGATGTTGATATAAATTAATAAAATATGAATTAGGAAATAATTAAATAATTATATGAAAAATATGCAAGAAGAAAGGATATTAAGATGAGAACAAAAAGTAAAAAAAAGTTTTGTATAAGAATAAATATTAAATTTAGTTGTAATTTAGTCAATATTGGGTAAAAAAATCTTTGTTTAAAGCTTGTTTTGACCAAATAAATATGTACTATAACTTTACTTAAGAGTATAAAACAGCTTAAGACAATAGAAACTAAGATGATTAAAATTTTAAAACTAGAGATTAAAGCTTTTAGTACAGTTTTTTGATGAGTTTAAAATATAGAAACTTAATATTTGCAAGATATATGTAAAATAATAAGTGAACAAGTTTACTTAAGAGCTTAAGACCAAAAAAAATATTCAACTCTCTCTGCTGATCCTCAATTCCAGAAAAACAAGAAAAAACAAACTTAAAAACAACAAAAAATAGACTAGCAAACACTCTTTAGATGATTAACAAAAAAGCTGTATCAGGAAAAAATATATATAATACAATAAAAGTTAGAAGACAAAGAAAGCTGCACTAAGATATTAACAAAAAACAGTAATCTTTTTGGCAAAAAAGTGGAAAATTTTGGGGAATTGGCATTACCCTAAAAAATAGAAACCAAAACACATGATAAATGTAACAACAATAACAACAACAAACAAACAGGTCTCATGTCTAATTAGGAAATAGTAAGCACTATTATAAAACCAGTAATGTAGTACTAACAAGATACTAACAAATATTACAAAGTTTAATTATAGATATTGATTAGTCTAAAAAGGAAAATCTTGATCCAATTATTAGAATATAAACCAATGAATGAAAATTGCAATGCAGATATCATATCCTATATTAGAGGAATAAGGGATAGAAACTGAAGACATGTAGACTGTAGAATTCTGAACTAAGTTCTTAAAACTCCTATACAGAACCCAAGTAATATAAAGTACATTGCCAAAGAATTAGCAATATATAATCCAAAACATATTACATCACATAATATGTTAATATATAGTCAAATACTAGAAACATTAAGAATAGCAATACTTTTTCTTTAGAAAACATATCTAAGTCTACAATCTCTATCTAGCTTATTATTTTTTTTAACAATGCCTACTTTAAGTCAACAAGAACCAGATACAGCAGACCTTGACTACTTTTACCAAAACTTTTCTAGCAGTTTTGGAATTGCCCTCTATGAAGAGGATAACAATAATAAGGCTCGCCCAATCCCTTCCAAAGTTCAACCCACCTCCTGCTTAACAAAAAATCTTCGATCAAATAAAATTACTCATTTCTTTAA